GATGTTGAGAATGACATGAAGTGATTGTACAGAAGTTTAGGACAAAAAAAAACGATTATTTGTCAAAGACATCACCACAGTCAAGAAAACAAGAGTCTCACATAAAATGTCACTTTGATTTATTGTCAGTGAGATTTAAATTGCATCTGTCAAGGCTCCAAGCCAATTGAACTACATCTCTAATAATTCATCTCACACAGTCTCTCTTTCTCTAGAGCACACACACACACATACACACACACACACACACTGATACACACCTTTGAGGCTTTTCCAAAAAATTCTGTGAAACTGATGGCTTCCTTCAGTGGATGGAGTTGGAGTAAATCTCTGGGATGCCCTGTTCACAAAAAAGCACCTCTTTGCCTAATGCACACACCCACGCACACACACACACACACGCACACACACACACACACACACACACACACACACACACACACACACACACACACACACACACACACACACACACACACACACAAACATGGACACAGACACACACACTCAGGCATGCTGAGGCTGAGATGATTTATAGCCAGGCGTGTCTAATGGATTGCTTTGGCACTTGAGAAATTATGAAAATAAATTAATTAGCCTTTAGTGACCCTGCTGTCCATCTGTCTCTCTCTCTCTCTCTCTCCTCACACACACACACACAAACACACACACACACACACACACACACACACACACACACACACACACACACACACACACAGGGCTAAGAATAAACAGTGACCCAGGCACCTGGCTGCTCACTGTGGATGTAAATACAGTCTAAATGGGCTGTAGCTGTCACAGATTTATCTTCACTAAATCACATGCATGAAAATACCTGTTTATGTCATGTCATTACTGCGCCGCGGTGACATTTTCAGTGACCCAAGTATCATTACAAAATGAATGACCATATATTTGTTATTCAATATTCACAACAATTAAGTGATGTACATAAAGAGGAAAGTAGAATTGGAAAGATGAGTTCAAAATCTGCAGCCAAATCAAAAAGAAAGAAACAGATAAAAAAAGGATAAAAGCTAAAGATTACAAAGTGCCTTTACTGAGAAAAGTGATTGAACACATATTAATTATTCTGTGTGGCACGGGGCTCTACAGACTGCACAGAGATGAAGGTAAACCAGTGAACGCCATGTCTGAAAGAAACAAGCAGAGAATGAGCAGCAGCTTAGTTCCCCCTCAGTGAGGATTCTGGAGAATAGCTGTTATTTTCTGTCTCTCTTCAGGCTAACTTCACTCAGAGAACAGAAAGCTCAGCTCAGCCCAGGAGGTGTGGAGTAACTGCTTCTCTTTTTCTCTGCGCTTGTTTGTCTCAGTGTCTCCTTAACTGGTAAACGGTGAAAAAGCAGAATTTACTAGAAATACCCTTGTTTCTGTTGTATCCTGAAAATGCACAAGAATCCAGATGTCTTAACTGGTTTGACAAAATGAGGTAAAACAATATGTAGACCTCCTCCATTATAAACAAGATAACAGAAGGCAGTCTTTAAATTGGATTGAAATTACGCTTTGTATTTTTGGCAAGTGTGCAGATCAGACATGAGCACTTGTTCTGAATTATTTTGAGGTTTCCTGTCTCCTGAGCTCTGAAAACCAGCTGGTACGAGACCGAGAAGAGTCCATGAGAGTAACGCTTGAGGGGACATGATTACGGTCCACTCCAAAATAAGTCCACACTCCAGATCCACACAAGCACACACAGAGGCTGAGAGGGCTGCGCTTCTCATGCTTGTGATGTTTGTCTTTGTATATTTGTACATGTGTGTAATTCTGACAGTGGAAAAGTATTGGGTGAAGTCCCCTGCTGCTCATCTCAAAGAGGAGATGAGCTGTAACCACAACCACCTCCCCGAACAACAAATGAGCAGATGGCAAGGACTGTGGGTGTGTTAGTTTCCCAAAATATGTTAGCGTGTCCTGAAAATCTGGTATTTTTTGTCGAACATGGACTTTTACTTGGATATGAATATATGGTAACAAGTCACTCTAAAATTTGTCAGAGATCTTTTAATGCAAATTGCTTAATTTTTTTTTCATCTTAATTTTATTTTAATATCTGCTTACTTTAAACCAGCGGTTCCCAACCTTTTCCATCTCACCGCCCACTTGAAAATCTAAAAAATGTTGACAGCCCACATCCGACCCCGTAACAATATGGAGGCCAAACCATTGCCTTGCCTTTGGGATCGCTTGTCAATTCAGCATCTGTCTCTTGACTCTCTTTCCTTTTAATTCTTCCTGTCGCTAACCAGCTATCCATTTTGATTTTGATTTTTGCCATGGATGTAATCTTTTAGCGCACAATCAGACTGAGAGAGCAAACAAGTATACAATGTGGTGCGGCTGGCAACAACAGAAAAGTTCCTATCATTGGATTATCACAGTGATCGGCGTTAATACAAAAGAAATAGATAAAAGCAGTTTTCTACCATTTTAATGTTTTTAAAGATCATTCATTTTAAAACATTCAAAACATTTTGTATTTTTATATATACGTCTGTATATACGCCTTTTCACCAAAATTTTTCTGTTTTGCAAATGATTTCTCGGCCCACTTGCAAAACCTTCATGGCCCGTAGGTTCACAGCCTCTGTTTTAAACTATATAAACAATATTTTTTTACCAAAATGAGAGGGCTCGTTCTTAAAGAATGATTCTGCGGGTGCCCTCAGCACCACAGAGTGTTTTGTGTCTTTCAGCTCATTGTTTTGGTTTTGTTGTCCACAGGTTTACTGTCCTGGTTCTCACCACTCTCATCAGTGTAGCTTTTGGCTGCAGCAGGCAGCTGTTTTTAACCAAAAAGCTCTGATAAACCCACTGTGCACCACCTGCCGAGCATCTAACAGCAGACGGACAAAGTAAGCGAGTAGTTGGTAAACATAGTGGAGCATTTAGCAGCTAAAGAGCCAGATATTTCCATCAGGAGTTAGTGGAGACCAAAAAAAAAACTGATAGAAGAATGAATATTGGACTTAAATTCATCAGACGGACACAAACAGTACTCCAAATGAATGCTAATGCTGCTCTGATTATGCTGCTAGATGTGTAACTGTTTCCTAACAAAGTTGCATCTTGTGTCAGTGTATATTAGAAAAAAAGACTTGCACATTGAGAGATGCTAAGCAGGAGCTCAGTATCTTGCATTAAAGTTGATTCCTGCAGGCTGCTGATGCGTTCAAGATATTTATCCAATCGATACATCAAATGAACAGTTCAGTCCCTTCTTTCTTCAGTTTTCATACTCATATAAGAGAGTTCTGTGTGTCTCAAACCTTCTAGTTCAAATGAAGGGTCATCCAAATGCATCTAAAAGCAAAAGTGTTGATACCTGTCCGCAGGTGTGCCAAAAAGCCAGCCTTCACAGAGAGGAGCATGATGCAATGAATCAGAGAAATGGAGATAATCGCACACACTTTTGGGCAGGCTATCCTCAAAAGCATTCTTGGTGTTGCTCTTAACTGTACACCCCAAAAAGTCAGGAAAGTAGGTGTGTGAAGAATGAAAAAAGACGAATTCAAGAGGAGTTCAAATCCTGCAAAGTGTCTCACTTTTACACACCTGGCCAATCGCTGCTTGAAGTGGGTGTGATTGTCAGATTTTTGGTTTCAGAAAGTGACAAAAATGATCAGAATCAACCTTTCCAGTTTTGACACTGGAAAAAGAATAGATGCTCTTTGACTATCCAACAAGTACTTCTTTGAAAGCGGCAATAATTTGGATATTTAAAACAAGGTCAAGAGAATTATCACTTGAATATGTAGATCCCCTCCGTTTTACAGAGCTTTATAGTGAATTTCCGATCATTGTTGTAAATATTGGAGTTAAATTTGCCATGTGTAAAGAAACATGACTCCAACTTGTTTCCACTGGTCCCAAGAGGACAGAAAAAAAACTGTTATTGCAGGTTAATGTAATACTCAGTAGAAGTATAAGTGATCAAAATATAATGGTCAGTACATCTTCAATGCAAGTACATTGAACAGTATGCAGGAATCTTCTTTTTTATACGTTTACAATGCAAATAAATCTTTGTCATGTGAGTAAAGCAATTGAATTGAATTGAATTAAATCGAATTGAATCAAATTGAATTCAACTGAGAGATTGATTAGAGTGAGACGGAGAGAGTGAGGTCAGTTTAAAGAAAGAGAGAAAGCATGACATATAAATGAAAGAATGACAAAGACGGAGAGAGAGAGAGAGTGAGTCAGTGAGAGAGACAAAGGGAAACAGAGGGAGGGTGAGCAACATGGAGGGATTATTAGCGACTCTGTGTGGGGATTATGGAGGAATGCTGAGGTCTGACACACCAGAATGTGATCTCACTCTGGCTTAGTGTCACTTTTCTCTCCTCCACTTCCTCTGGTTTGTTCCACAGGTACACGTCAGACTACCAGCCCATATAAGTTCACTCCTGTCACATCACTCACCTGCCTCTGATTCTCTGTCTCTCACACACACACACACACACACACACACACACACACACACACATACACACACACTCACACACACACACACACACACACACACACACACACACACACACACACACACACACTCACACACACACACACACACACACACACACACACACACACACACACTCACACACGCTTTCACAGCTTGCTTCACCAACTTCACACATGGAGGTGTTCAGTGGGTAGTACAGTTGAAGCATGAGACAATTTCTATGGATTTTCCTCCTTTGATGCTGCAGCAGAACAAATCCAATGTCTTTTTCCAGCTGGCTGGAGATCATGAACACTGTATTCTTTCCAGATGAAGTGATTGCACCATATAACTCTGTTGCAACTCACACACACACACACACACACACACACACACACACACACACACACACATTGCTGTTTGTTAAGACAAATATGTGATAGCCAAGTAAAAGTGTATCACGTAGTTTTGACAAATACTTTACTAACCTCCTCCTCTTTCTTTGTCTCTCTTTCCACCTCTCCTGCAGATCTGACTTTGACCTGGACTATGACAGCTATCACGAGGACTACTATGACAGGTACTGTCAGAAAGCTATGCATGGCAGCTCGCACACCTTATTGCTTGTCTGCGTGTCACAGGAGGCTAAAAGGGATGAGGCTAAAGCAGATTCTTCATCCCTGCTGTCTCCAGTAGTCTCCCCGCTTCCCATCGCTGTCTGCCACACAGCTGTCAGTCATCCGGTCTTTGCTTACAATGTTGCCTGTTACTGCTCAACAGCCTGGAGCTCACCCGTCACATTGACACACATGCAGACAAAGAAATGTGTGCACATGAACTCAAAAAAAAAAAAAAAAAAAAAAAAAAAAAAAAAATCTGTATTTCCACATACACAGACAGGTGCACACTGAAACACATTCAGATTCTGGATTCATGATGTGTCGTCCCATTTGAGGATACAGTGAAAATCTAAGATTCTACTAATTTTAAGTGTTTAGCTCAGTCTGCATTACATCATTCACTTAAGGCCACACATCGAGCTTTTCTTGTCTGATACAGCGTAAGACGACGATAATATACAGATGTGTACTGTGTCTTAGTGAGGTGTTGGACCACCACAAGTCACTAGAACAGCTTCATTGCTCCTAACTTGCATAGATCTTCCGAGTTCCAAGTTTCTGAACTCTACTGGGGGGGTAACTACAATTCTGCCAAAAGGGACTCCCTCACTTGGTGTTTTGGATGATGTCTAACACCATAGTGTTAGACATCATCCATGTGCTTTTCTTCATGTGCCATAGTGCACGACTGGGTCGAGATGTGGTGACTGTGAAGGCAGAAGATCCTTTTCATACTCATCAAACGGTTGGACTCACTTAATCAAGTTTTTGTTTTTTCCTTTAATTTGTCACCAGTCTGTATCTGTGAAGGGGTTGATACATTTGTTCATCAGTAGAAATGCCTCAACAATTGAAGACTCAGTTCATTAAGCATGAAAGCTTAATGAATATTGCCAGATATTTAAGATGAGACTGTATCGGTCCAAACTGCTATTTTAAATTGCTATTATCTATTTGTGCTATGTGAGTCTTTGTCAGTGTGTTGACAGTGTAACCAAACCCTGTCCCTCTCAGTCTAAGAGCAACCAGTATTGGACTGAAATTAAAAATTGAATTTCACTTAAAAGACCTTTTCTCTTTTGCATCTCTAAAATGAAAATGAAACATGACGACCTCTGTCGTAAAAATGTCACAGGTTACAAGTTACTGTCACCTAAGATTAAGTTCTTAGTAAATATGCAGTTCTGCAGCAATACATTAGGGTTATATAATTCCCCTTAAAAACACAGAAACTGAGCATATTGTCTGGGGCTCAGTTTGCAGTGTGTTAGAAGGTGAGGATACAGACTTGTGCAGTGCACAGTTAAGGGCAGTGGTTACGTGGATGAGGAAGTTAGACTGAGCTCTGTATTATTGGTCCTTCACTGAAATTGCTCAGGGACCTTCCTACATCCCCCAGGCCTCACTCATAAACACTCCACTCAGCACATCTGAATAAAAGCAGCCAGTCGCATTGTACACACACACACACACACACACACACACACACACACACACACACACACAAAGACCTTATTCCATTGCCTTTCTCGTACTTATCGATGCTCTGGTGCTCTGAGTATTAACTGTCATCTTTTCTTTGTTTTTTTCTTCGTCTTTGGTTTGCTTTGCTCTGCATTTTTCCGTCTTTGCCCTGGGGGGGAACACTCACCACTGATTTTTAATTTGTTTTTAACACAGTGCATGATTATTCCCCATTCTGTTGGCTAGCACTACTGACAGCTGTGTGTGTTTGTGTTTGCCTCTGGGTGCGAGTGGAATGGAGACTACGTGTGCATTTTTGTTCCTGTGTTTGTTGTTTGCGCGCATCAGTGTGTGGGGAAGAGAGAAATGACTGTTTTTTTGTCCGCTGTCCTCTTGTGCGAACACGAAAGAAAAGTGTCTTTCAACACACAGATAACAGCTCGAGCTGACAAAGCTGCTTTTCGTGTGGGGTCTAATCCATAGAGACAAACACTCTCTCTCTCGCACACACTCCCACACTTTTCTGTAATCCTCACTCGTCTACAGTCTCTCATTGTCTGAGCTTCCATTCTCTGAGATGACACTTCAAAGCCGGTGTAACAACACATTGTCTAGCTGCCCCTGCAAACTGCTCTAAAGGACTTTAAACTCCCATAAGTCTTTGGTCTCTGTGTCTCCCCACATGGACAATGCTCAAAGCCTCTAATCTTACACACTTATGGTGGCCTAATACACTTCATCCTTATGTGACACTGTGATACCTGCGTGTCTGTGTGTGTGCTGTGGATGTGCTAAGAACACAGTCTGTGCAGAAATCCCCGTATCATGTAGAGAGGCTTCACAGAATATAACACAACAGAAAACAACAGAAAAAAACCTTTCAGTAAGCCAGCCTGCCTCTGACTGACTGGCTAACAGCTCAATCAGTAAATCTACATTACTGGCCGACTCAGAGTCCTTGCAGCTGACAGCTTGTCTCCCTGTTGCTGGCTTGTGATATACAGCAGAGGAGCTTTTCCCTCTCCTGGCTCTGCAGAAACCATTTAGGCTGTGTTCAGACTGTCCTCCATCCAGATATATCCACATTGTGACTAGATTCAGTTGGACTACTGTTACAGTTTCTATTCTGAATCTGTGGTCAACTTTGTGACTCTTTTGGTCGTTTTGTTTAATCAAGTCCCTTAATCTGTTGATCAATTACAGCTGCTACAAATGCACAGAAACCTCAGTAAAATCATTTATAGATGTTGTTTGCCCCAGGTCCTACCCTTCCTGGAGCTTTTCCCGCTAATGATTGGTTAGCTTTGATCCTGTGGCTGTGTTTCACCTGGTCATTGGGTCACTGAATCACCACATCATCTGTATTTCTATTGAAGCACACACACATGCACAAACACACAGTGTCGTTTCTGTAACCACTATAGAGTTTGACTGTGATACACCTCCTGTCACCGGCACTACAAGCTTGGCGGGGAGCTATTGATTGGCCCTGACAGAACCAATTACATTCAGTGACAGATAGAAACATGGAGCTGTCCACAGGGATGAGGCAATGCCAGCGCACGATAGAGAGAGAGAGAAAGAGAAAGAGAGGCAGAGACAGAAAATAAAAGACAAATGAACATAGAATATCAACATCCATATTTATGTATGAGACGCTTGAACAGCTGCTTTTCTTCATGCTATACATATCTTTTCTTTCATTTCTTTTCCTAGCTTGTATTTAAGTATGTTTTATTTAACATACTTTTTTTCATTTTACAAAAGTGCAGTCTAAAATGTTTAATAAAAGACCTTTTTCAAAATTCACAAAATGTTGATTAAAGTCATGAACTAACTTAGATCTTATCGTGTCCTATGAGTAAACAAGACTAATCTGACCAGGTGTTTGATTCCAGTTTTCTGTACAGTTTTCAATACTCTGTGCTACAGATACATTTTTCTGTACCAAAGAAACATTAACATGCATTAACAACTGAGTTACATACTCAGCCCTAGTTTAAGCATTGTAGCATGTTATATATCAATCTGAATGGAGATTAAAGTGATGTTTTGAGTATACACGGATGGCTTTAAATGCTTTGTGATTTGCTTATTCACAGAGAACAGATGGCTCAAACTACCTGCAGAATAATCATCATCTCTGCTGTCCATCTCCATGCTCAGTTTAGTCATTTTCATCAATATGTGGCTGATTATATTGTTTCCAGCTCCTTGTGAGGAGGCTCCCATTCAGAAAAACACTTGCAACCACTTTCCTATACAAATTCAATAGACAGTTTGTTAAAAGTAAAAAAAATTGCATCTGCTGAATTTCCAGGGTGTATGACTACCAGCGTGTGCCGGCATCCCTGTCTCCTTTACACCTGGGACCCAGTCTGGCCAAGCGATCCCGCTCCTCTTCCTCCTACTCCTCCGGACACAGACGCAGTCGAGACAGAACCCACTCCAAAAGCTCCAGAGCCCACTCCACTAGTTCAACCACAGCCAAGTGTGAGTAATATGACTGCACAGCAAGTGAGATTTGATTAAAATAAAGCTACTCAAAGCTGTTTTAAAAGAAAAAAAAAGAAAAAAACATCTTAGTTTTCATTCATTACAAGTTCACACTGTTTGCCTAAAATTTGTGTGCATTTATTGCTTAATACTGTAAATACTCTATATGGCCAAAAGACATTTATGTAATCTTTGAACATGTTATTCCAAAACGATGGCCGTAAATATGCTGCTATAAAAGCCTCCCCTCTGAGGGGAAAGTTTTCCACCAGATGTTGGAACCTGGCTTCAGGAACCTGTTCCCAAATTGGCCACTATCGATTAATTGTTTGTTTCTTTTTAATACTCTCTGATTTCAGCGTTTCCAATGTGAGGATTTGTCGTTTTTTTCTGTTTTATGTTGTTGTAACCCGAATATCTTTGGTTTTGGACAGTTGCTTAGACAAAACAAGCCATTTGAAGATGTCACCTTGGACTGATGTCATGTGATGGACATGATGATGTTTTATCGGCAAAGCGATTTAATCAATATTTAAAAAAAAAAAAAAAAAAAAAAAAAATCAACTGTTTAATCAGTAATGAAAATGACTGTTAGTTGCAGCCCAGTATGTGGTGGTATCAAGATGCAAAAAAATGCAGCCTTAAACCAAATGACAATAGTGTCCGCATACTTTTGGCCAGATAGTGTACGTCTGATAAAGAGCAGTCATCCAGGTGCTTCATACACAAGAAGCTATGTGCTCATTTGGTCATTTGCATCTAATCCTTTCAGTATAGCAGTCACAGAAAAAAATATGCTGTGTGTAGTTTATGCACATGGTTTCTAGGAAGATCAAACAGCTTTTTTAAATTGTTACTTCCTGTTCACTGATGCTGCTTTCATGAGACAGACTGGAAAAATTAGCTGCATTCACTGCTATTCACTGTGTCTGCTTGACACCTAAAGCTCAGCCTAAGTGGCAAATCAGAAAGCCAAATAAACCCTGTACATGCTGCAACAATAGTTCATAACGTCAAATATGATAATAAGATGGACTGTTTTAACATTAAAATTTTTTTTTTTTTAAAAACTGTTTACTTTGCATGCATCTTTCATGGCAGCATTTTTGAAGTAATAGTTTGACGTTTGGACTTAGTGAGAATTAGATGAGAATATTGATACCACTCTAATTTTTGCATGGCAAATACAAACCTGGAGCCAGGAGACAGTTGGTTTAAAGTGTAGCATAAAGACAATGACATCCCAGAATCTCAGGGTGACAACAAGACTCCAATTGTTGTTCTCTGCTAGCAAATAGTCTGGCCCCCCATGAAACCACTACTTGTCATTTCCAGGTTTTGGTTTTTGTATGGCTTAAACAAACAAGCTATAAGATGTTAATTAATGAGTTTTAGAGGAGCTGGTAGGTAAATTCTGTTGCCTTGGGACAGAGCCAGGCAGCTGTTTCACCCTGTTTTCAGTCCTTATGCTAAGCTTAGCTAATAAGCTGCTCTCTCCATCCAGCTACATACAGTATGAAGCATGCAGATATGAGAACGGGATCAATGTTGTATATCTTTAGAATATGAAGTGTGTTCCCCAAAATGTTGAACTATTCTTCTCTCTATTCTGAGGTTGTGTACTTTCTTAATGTCCCACACTCTCTCTCTCTCTCTTTCTCTCTCTCTCTCACTCTCTCTCTCTCTCTGTGTCCCTGCAGTGGGCATGGAGGAGTTGCAGGTGATTAAAAAGGAGCTGACTCTGATAAAGACACAGATCGATGGGCTGCTTGACAGTCTTGACAGGATGGACACACAGAGGAATGACCACAAAGGTGAGACGCTCATTCAGGAAGACAGTGGAGGCAGCTAGGCGTGAGAATGAACGATGGATAATCTATTCGCACATCAAAAACATTTTAAGTTGGACTCCAGCGGTATGCCACTTTCAGATTTCGGCTTGATTAGCTCCACCACTCGCGACCCCAATCAAAACGATTCAGGATCTGTGCCGCAGGGCGACTGGGGGATGGGAATGCTCTGCACCAGCGGAGCCACTCCTGTTATACCTGACAAATCAATTATTTTACTCCAGTCAGGATTTTTTTTTTTTTGAAAGTTGAATCAAAGGCAAAATCAGCTGGAGTAGGGCTGTCTGGATTTGTGGTTGTGAACAAATTATGGAACATGCTGAACGAACAGTGTGGTTGAGGTATCTGACTGATGCGACTTCAGAAAACGCACAACTATCAAGGCCTTGAGGATGACAGCGGAGGGAAGAGCTGCTGCTGCCCTCATGTGGACATTTCAACAGAATACAGTAACTACCAGCTCAGGGACTGAACAGCACAGAGGTTTATTATCCCTCCTAAGGAAATTGCTTTTACTGCAATCTTAATTAAACTGATCGTAAACTGAAACACAATTTCCACCTTGTCCTCACCGTGTCCTCAGTCACTACTGCACTAAAAAGTTCTTGTTGAAAAAACAAAGACAGTGCTTCAACCTTGAACCTAGAGGTCATTATCATAACATCAGACTGAATGTACAAAGTTGACAGTTTATTAAGAAGAGAATGTGGCTAGTGCAGTTTAGCAGCTGTGGATGTACACCTGCACAAAAGTGTGTATGCATATGTGTGTTCTCCTATCTACTTTCAATGACCTTGGGCGATTGATAGCACTCATCTTCCTATTAATTTATCTCCGGCTCACCTTGATTCCCCTGTCCCTCACTATCTAGCCCTGCTGTCTCTCGTTTCCCTCTCCCTATCTCCTCATCTGTCCTTCATCCTGTCACTCCCACTCTTGTTTTCTGTCATCTGGTACAAAGTCAGCGGGACGTGCACAGACGTTTTTGTCTTTGACCCACATTAAAACATGTATTTTCTTCAGGACTTAAGATCCAAACCAAATTCTTCTCCCTAAACTCCATGTGTTCACATGTGTGGTGTAGGGTCTCCCCTGAGAGAGGACAGTCCAGCTGGCTCCCTGTACGCTCTGTCAGCCAGCAGCCCAGAGCACTCCCTGTCCTCCCTCTCTCCACCCAGCTCCCGCCATCGAATCCACAGGGAGAACCCTGACCTGAGGGAGCCTGATGATGACCACCACACGGTAACTGCACCATAAGACTACTGTATGTGTACTTTTTCAAGAATGACAAAAAAGTGCATTGGTGAGGGGCCACTCGCCTGGTTTCTGGTGATATTATTAAGATTCATGAGAAAGGTCAAGAATGATGCAGCCGCCATTTTTTGCTAATTTGATTTAAGCAGTGGCTCTTTGTCTGCCTGGGCCCCGTTTTGTGGATATAAAAGATATTACTGTACTTTGACTTAAGTTAAAACAGCAAAAGAAAAGAAAAAAAGAAAGAAAAGAAAACTCTTGTTTCCCACTGAAAATAAAAAAAATGTCCAGAGACTAGATTTGAATTTAAACCTTAAATCTTATTTTAAGAAATTTTTCTTTGGCTGTAAAGTTACACAGACAAGACAACCAGATGTTCCTGTCTTGTGACGCATGCACACATGAAACAGCTACTGAGACTGAGCTACTGTGAAATCAATTCATACTTACATAATGACATTTGTTTTAGTCATTGTGAGCTTGCAGTTTGATGAAATGTCTCTTTGTTTTTTTCTCCTTCACTGTCCCTGTCTCTCTGTTTGTCTGTCCGTCACAGATGAGCAACCACAGCTCTGACCCTGAGGAGGAAATATGAGGAAGGAAAATGAGAAGACGTAGGAGACGTGGATTAAGTGCCAAACACTGAGGAAGAGAACGACAACCATCACCAAACCAACACTCATCACAGCCCATATCAGAGGCTTCATTCCCCAACTGGGCATACATATCAGATAACACAATACATTTAATAGTGTCACAGGCGCTCGGTTTCTGTGACTGTACTGAAAGGAAAAACACTGACACAGACTGATACACACACATACATGCACTGTAGATCTCATTGACTGGAAATTGTTAGGTTGGCCTGAGAGAGGGAGAAGGCATGATCCCATCTAGAAAATACTACAACTGGTAGCAGGTTCATTTACCTTGAATTGAACCCATTCTACTGTATGAGTGGGTTTGCACAGACAACAATATTCCAGTATTAATCCAAATATTGTTGTGTTAATCCAAATGTGACAATGCAGATCTCTGATTAAAACATTATGTAAGCAGCTTACCAGTTTATCTTATTCACATTAAAGTCTTTTTCTGAAAACAGGCAGCATATGTTGGTATCAGACTATATATAATTATTAATAATAATAATTTACGTGTAGTCATGAAGTTTTGCTAGAAGGGTGAGAAAGTTTCTGCTTAATGAAGGACCTTTAATTAGATATTGCACAAACAATATAAAAGACAGAAATACTAATGAATCATGAGCCATTATAAACCATGTAAACAGCTTAATTTCATATTGTGTCAATTTCAGAATAAGGGTAAAGCTGGAATATCTGCGCTTGTAAATGAAAAATCACCTCTCTGGATCTGCTGAAAGAAAAAGAAATGTGTACTCTCCCAAATTTGATCTTTCAAGTGGGCTTTTTATTGACACTGAACTAACGCTTTTTCTTTCTTGTATACAGACTTTAGCTATTCAAAGTAAATTATAGTAATCCAATCACACTGATCATTCAGGAGAGACAACGTGTTTGTTTTTCTGCTTGTAAGTTTCAGTATGCTACTTCTCTGAGTGTAACCCTCTGAAAGAAATGTTGTAATGACCTTGTTCTGTCACACCTTTTAGATATACAAGTAGTTTCTCTACTTTAAATGTTTTAGAAGGATGTTGAAATTCTCTTCCCCTGTGTATTTGGCACTTAAAGATGTGCAAAGGCCCAGGTCAGTGTGTAATATTGTGTATTATTGTAAAACTTAACTGTAATTGTTCCGCTGTCTGATTTTAATCTTGCTTTCCAACTTCTCATATGTTTCTTCTTTTTTGTTTTTGAAGAGAACTGTGATGTTATTATAATTCTTATGGTGTTACATGTTTTTGTTTGCAATATTAAGATAAGCCAAGTGGAAATACTCATTGTCACAGTAGTAAATGTATTTTCATACTGACTCTATAATGCAGTTCATGGTGATGTGTGTGTTTTTATTCTGAAAGACCAAGATGGATCAAGTGAAAAAGAGGCAAACACTTCAAGAAAAAATTGCAAAACTAGTACTGCATATTGTTTATGGCACTAATCGAAAGTCTGCAAGCTGTATATGAAGAAAATCAAATATATCTTACATTAATTGAACTGGGAAGTCAACAGGCTGACGAGGCTGATAATGGTAAATATCACCTTGCTTGCTTGGAGATAGTGGACCGCTGGATCTAGTGATCGTATATCTCTTTGAACCTACAACACCTCTTTTCCTCAGCGCTCGCATGGTCACACCAAAGATCAGTCTGAGCCTCAGAAGCAGTAGCACACAGTAGCACTGCATCCATTGCTTTGAGGGCTGCTAGGTGTGATATCAGCACAGTGAACCAGACTCAGACTAGAGTATTTTCTACCCAAAACACATTACCCATGCAGCACTGAAGAGACTCCAAAATCTAAACCTCTGTCAGTGTCATAATCCAGCAACATGGCAACCACATAGGTCAGGAACAGGTCAAGAGATGGATTTACCTTAGACAGTTGATTACAAAAAAGAAAAGATGCCACTATAATCTTTTCAGTCTGTCATTCTTATCAACAGCACATCCTGTTGAGTCACTATACACAGAAACAAAATCAGACACATTTTGTACAAATCTGAAAAAAACAACAAAGGAAGAGTCTCACCAGCAGCCTCTCCGCCACCAGCTGCCTCTCTGGAAAGCCAGCTTAGCCTTAGAGAGATAAATGAGAGAGAAAGGGGCAAGTTTATAAAGCTGAGGTGCTCAGGCCACACAGGGAGAAAATGGATGATGCCAGTAACTGTGAGTTGGTTTTTATTACCCTTGAAACAACATTTTGGTGTAGCACAGAATCTGAAGATGCTTATGTGTTATTATTGAGCCGGGCAAGTACTTTATAGAAAACACAGAATGTACACAGTGAAGTGCAGACAGGTCTGACTGTCAGTGCAAGTCCATTAAAATTAAAACAAGTCGCACAACTCTTCTCCTGCAAAGGATTCCTGCATCAGGAAATGCAGTTTTGAATCATTCATGTTAATTGTTGAGAGTAATTTATTCCTTACAACACTGTCCTAACCTGAGTAAGTTCAATTCACCGATGAAGACAGTGGGATATGGCCGAAAGCTCTGGTAATGGCTGAGAAAGTGGACTTTGCATTTAGAATATTTACCACACAGCTGTCCTATAGTTCATGTCATAAACTTTTTGGACAGCTGTATCTAAGATGGAAAAATATCATGTAAAATATTACCACAGTCTCAGTTTAGCAGGAGGTGGTCTCTCTCTCTCACCACAAAAACAATCTAAATATGGAAGATTCAAGTCACTTCATTCAATAAAGCATGTTCAGAAATTGCACTGCAAGTCGCCAAATACCACAGCCAGATGATTTTCCACTGTGCTCAAATTTTTTCAAATGTTACCACATAATATAATAATCAGCGATGCACATTGGACCACTTGAAGCACATTGCTGTCTTAGGATAAAAAGTCAGCATGCGCCGAAAACCAGAGTTTGATGCGTGAAAATCAGAAGAAACCGCAAGAGTACAGACATTAATTACATTAATAAATGCAAAGTTGTGCTTGTTATCCACTTTTAGCCCCAAACGACCCCTCAAATCTACTATTATGCTAAATTTCATTATATGAGAGGTTGGGGGTGGGGGTGGGGGTGGGGG